TGCCTTTATAAATGGCTACCTAAAGGAAGAAGTGTTTGTCCAACAACCTCCAATGTTTTAGAGAAATGAGTGTCCGAAACATGTGTACAAATTAGACAAGGCTCTCCATGGACTCAAGCAGGCTCCTAGAGTATGGTATGAATGACTAGCCAAATTCCTACTTGAACATGGATACAAGAGAGGTAAAATTGACAGTACTCTATTCATGAGGGAAAAAGGTAAGGATCTTATTTTAGTATAAATATATGTTGATGACATAATTCAAGAAAATCCTAAGGAATCTCACTTGACTGCTGTCAAGAGGATACTGAGATATTTGAAAGGCACTATTGATCATTGCCTTTGGTACCCAAAAGGTAGTATATTTAATTTAGTGGGATATGCTAATGCTGACTATGCAGGTTTCCTGGTGGATAGGAAGAACACCTCAGGTATGACACACTTCTTTGGGTCATGTCTGGTATCATGGGCCTCTAAAAAGCAGAATTTAGTGGCCTTATCCGCTTCTGAGGCTGAGTATGTTGATGCTGCCTCTTATTGTGCTCAACTGCTGTGGATCAAACAGAAGCTGATGGATTTTAGCATTGAAGTTGGTTGTATACCTATATTTTGTGATAAACTAGTGCTATTAGTATGACCAAGAACCCAGTTCATCATAAGAGGACTAAACACATAGATGTTAGACATAACTTCTTAAGTGACAACTATGAGAAAAGATTGTTTACCATAGAATTCTGTGCTACCGATAAACAAATTGCTGACACCTTACTAAAGCACTGAGTAGAGAAAGCTTTGAAAGGAACATGTTAGAATTAGGGATGATTAAGATCACCTAATGGGACCAGCTCAGAATGCACAATGAAAAAAAATGAAAAAAATTGATGATTTTTTTAGCTAGGAAATCTGGAACTTGTGTAAATACCTAGAATTTTTACTCAGTTTCATAATGTAAATAGTATACTCCTGTTACATGTGTTGATATGATCTCTAACAAAATTTTCTCTATTATGGTAAATTGAGGAGATCAAGAGAATTCTAAATGAATAACTTGGTTCATCAGTATTGGTCATCTGAAAAACGAGGTATGTTTTCTATACTCTGCACAATTAGAAATATAAATATATAAATCATGAGCAGAGTCTCACCTATGTTCAAAAATATCAGAAAATCCTATCCATTTATTTTTTGAACTAGTTCCATTTCTACTAGAGTTCTCACCACATAAAATGCCTAAAATCTAGGGAAGCTTAACCGTTCATTCAACCTCAAATTTCAGGTTGATTAGACCTCTAATTGACTGTTAAAGGCTACCGTTAGTCATTAAATAGGTCTCTTTATTTAAATATGCATCATCACCCTCTGCCACCCTTACTATTCCAAACAGTCAAAAATCTATTTCACTCTCAATTGTTCTCTCTTCCAAAAGACTAACTCACAAACTCTCTCAAGAAATTAGTTACAATGTCTAACCCTCAAGATAATCCAGGCACTCCTCCACCACCCTCCCCTTCTGGTTCCTCCACACCTCCTCAACCTAGTACAACCCCTCAACCTAGAAGAAGGATAGTAAAAATGCTTGCTCGGAAAATGGTGGCAACTGGTGCTCTTTCAAAGAAATTGAATGAGAAATTGAAGTCAAGACAAGCCCAAGATTTTGAGAACTCAGACGATTCGTTCAAATCTGCGAGTGAGGGCGAAGGAACTGGGTTTTCTGACTTTGAGAAGTCTCAAAACTCCCCTTCTGAGGTACGTTCTACTTTGGCCGAAAATTTAGAAAATAGGTTTATTTTGGTTAGGTTTATCAGGAATGTGAAATTGCTTGACTTAGGACAGAGAGGAGGTAAAAATAAAAATGAAAAAGAAAAAGAGGGAGAGGGTGTATGTAGTTATGTGAGGGGAAAATGGAAAGGAGTTGTTAGTTCTTCACCCACTTCTGAATTGATGGTACTAGCTATCTGTGGGGTTGAACATGCAATTGTGGAAGAATGTGGCAAGAAGTCAAGGGGAAGTGGTTCAGGGGAGGCTGTTGAAGGGTTGGTTAATCTAAGTTCACAAGCAAATGAACCTAGTTCATCTATTGAGGAGACCCTAGCAGACCTTCTAAAGAAAGTAGGTGCTAGTTATGATCCAAAGAAAAGGAAAACTCCAATACCAAAAGCCACCAACACTACAAAACCTTCCAAGAAAAGAAAGGTTTCCTCCCCAACAACTACTGAAATTCCCTTGCTAAAGGGAAGAGCTACAAGAAGTAGGGTGAAACAGAGTGAGAGTGAATTATAAAAGGCTTTGGCTGAAAGCAAGAAGAAGAGGATGGATAAAGGAAAAGGTAAGGTTGCAGATTCCTCTGAAGCTATTGATATTGAGGAGGTGGAACAGGTCCATCAGGAGGAACATACAACAATAAAGGTTTAGACCCCCAAGCCCAAAAAGACCGAGACTTCTTCCAAGAAGTCTTCATCTGTGTCTAAGGCAGTTGAACCTTTATTGGCCAAGAGGACAAGGTCTGCATTGTAAAACAAACAAGTTAGAATTACTGAAGATGAGGAATGGAGTGGTGAAGAAGAGAGTGAGTCTAACGGTGAACAAGACAAGCTGGCCAAGTTTGGCAAAAGAAAATTTTTGAAGGGAAGATTGCTGAAAGACTTGGTGGAACCAGGAATGGTTCGTTTGGTTGATGCCCTAGCTATTCAGAGCAAGAAGGACATGGTCCTTCAGATGGATAGAAGGCTAGCCAGGAATGAAATCATTGAATTCATGGCCAATGTAGAGGTCAAAGATGGCAGAGTCACTAGCCAAGTAAAATGAGTTCAAGTGACCTTTGATGCAAAGAAGCTGTGAGAGATTCTTGACATCCCTGTTGAGGGATATGATGACTACACTAGGCAAAGATGGCCAAGTCTAGATTCCCTTCCTCCTGCCCTTGAAATCACTAGGCGATTTTGTGATGTTGAAGAAGTGAATGAGGCCAAGTTTGTGCAAAAGAGTGAAATGAAGCCACAATACAAAGTCCTCTTTGAGTTTGTCAACAAGTGCCTACTGCCCAGGCAGGAAAGAAGGCACATTGCTAACTATATGGACTTAGTTCTGATGGAGTGCCTTGAAAGTGGAAGGCAAATAAACTGGCCTGCATTCATTATCAAGCTATTGGACATGGTTATCAATGGCTCCAAGGTCCATGCCACCCCTATGGATTTATTCTGACTACTATTCTGGATCAGTGCAAGGTGCCTTTGAAGAAGTGGGAAATGGCCACAAGAAAGGACTACTTTGGCATTAATACTCTGATTGCTTGTGACTATCTAGTCAATACCATTCCAAATGAACCCGGTTCAACCAAAAAGACACCTATAAACAATAAAGTCCGGGCTCTAGTTCAGGAAAGTGAGGACAAAGATGCTTAGATAGCTAGGCTGAAGGCTCGCTTAGCAGAGGTTGAATCTGAGAGCGATGCTCTCAGAACTGAGCATACCAAGGAAAAGGAGAAGAATGATGGGATTCTTCACAATATGCTGAATCTTCTCTAAGCCCAAAACCAACCCTCTAGCTCCCCCAAGCCTTAGGAATTCTAGCCTTTATCTCCTGAACCTATCTAGTACCATCAGTGACCCAGATTAGGGATTTCTTTTTCGTTTTGCTCATGTTTTGAATATTTTTGCTTTCTGTTTGTGGATTGTGGTAGCAACATATTTTCTATCAATGATATCTACTATTTTTGCTCTTGTTGACTGTTATTATTTCCTTGATAGTTTAAATATGTTTGCCTGATTACTGATGATTAATCTATAATTGCACCTACAGTTGCCCTAGTGGCCATGAGTACTTATTAAAATCTGGGACTCACACTTTGTTAATGCAACTTTTCGATGATGCCAAAAGGGGAAAAAGATATTGTGCTTTACATATTCTGCATATGTGATGTTTATAACCTAATTAACATGGTCCTCGATGATAAGTGGACTTTTCTAAACTTTGTATTCATGAATAAGCTGAGTTCTTACAGGGCTTAAGTGAATGAAAAGCACAGAGTTTGTCATCATCAAAAAGGGAGAATTTGTTGGCCCAAGTAAATGTGAAGTTTAGAAGACTGACAAAAAAACTCAAATATGGACCAGGTCCAACTTGTGAAGCACAGTCGTGATCAATCCAAACATGTGAGATGCACGTGAAGGAGATAAATCTAACTTATTATAAGAAATATCTCCTGATCATGATCGAAAAGGTTGCATATTGGATAAGGAGAAAGACTCCTTACACAAAGAGAACACGGTTTAGGAAAAGGATAGAGTTAGAGTATGAGATCAACTAGAACTCTTCCACCATGGAAGAGTAGCATATGTATCCTAGTAAATATCTAATTTCTAAATCCTTAAATATCAGTGTTGTTCTCTTTTACAGGTAATGCACATAAGCAAAAGTTAAACGTGAATTGAGAGCAAAATAGCAAGGCAATTTTGCAAGCAATTTATGTGTGATTCAAGCGTGCAATCCTGAAGCTACTTGAACCAGATAAAAGAACCAGTTCCAAGTGTCTATCTTATTATTCTAGTTCATTTGCAGTAGGTGATTTTACATTTTACCTTTCAGCTTCTTTAGAAGCAATTGTATTAGGTACGTAGAGTTTTCAAGTTAGAGTCAACTTGAAGTTGTCGTAATAGGTTGTATGCCACAACGGGATTAGAGTTAATCCTAGGTTTACAAAAGAGTTTTTGTAAATGCAGTTTTTGGCTCAGTGATTTTAGTTGAGAGTTAGGGAAAATCCTGCTGGAAGGTAGGTCGTGGTTTTTTCACCTTTTGAGCCAGGTGTTTTCCATGTAAAATCTCTATGTTCTTTATTTTTTTATATTTATTATTCTGCAACAGTAATAGTTGGAACACATAGAAGAACCAGGTCCTTGGTACCACAAAAATCACCCCCTTTTGTGTGGTATTGAAGTCTAAAGCATCATCTTATTTTTCTGGACGATATGGTATTAACCCGTCTTTTCATTTTTTAGACGTACATGGTGGAAATTGAGAGCGCTCGTAGGGCTGACATTTGTGCCAAGATTTTCCTGAAAATGTTGGAGAAGTATCGGTGCTATCGCAATAAGTGCCGTGAGATACACGAGCAATTGAAGGCGAACCCTGGTGCTCGATCCCTCGGCGAGGAATTGGAGAAGAGGTACCAATAATTGATGGAGGCTATTTGCAGAAGTAGCGTGCTCGAGGAGCAAGTTCGTGCAAGGAAGAAGAGCTTGAGTTAGGCAAAGGGGTTGCTGCAGAGTGTGAATATCTTCAGGGGAAGCTGAGGTCGATGCAGTCTGAGATGGATCAGAATCTTATCAGTGTTGAGGCGATGAGCGCGGAGTGGATGGGAAAATTGGCCGAGTTGGAGAGAAAGGTTGCCGTGTTGGAGAACATCGAGAGTTCCTGGTCATCGGCTTCGGCAAGGGTGGCGGCCCTGGAGAACACTATCTGTGTCCTCCAATCCGAGCAGGAATCGGAGAGGGCGACGGCCACGCTTAGGGAGGTGAGGCTCGAGGAACGCATTGGAGATATTGACCAAGAGGCATCGACCTTATGGTACCGGATTGCTGCACTTGAGGCCGAAAAGGAGCAACTGTTGGCTCAAGTCGAATCTTCCTCCACTGCTGTTCTCCGTCATTTGCATGAGCTTTGGGTTCATGTTGAATCCCAACGTGACATATACAAGAGTTTGTGGGAGGCGGGCAATGTTACTGAGGCCGCATATGAAGTAGAAAGGGCGAGGGAACGAGAGACTCGTGTTAACTCTGGATATGACTTTGCAACGCCAGAAGCTGATAAGGGCGCGAACGATGATGAAGGATTCCCTGGAGATGGTGGTGATGGTACCGAGTGAAAGAACTGTTGTCTTTGTCTGTTTTTTTGTGGTTTATTGTTTTTTTTTCTTGGACTCCGTTGGTTTTAGCCGTATGTAATCTGCGGCTGTTTCTGCAGTAGCTTGTATAAAGAGGAATTTTCCATTGTTATATGCCTTCTGTATTTCTCTTCCTGTTTTGCTCTTCATAGCTTTGGTGCAAAGAAGTAGATTTTCACGTGAAGAGTTCCCGACTTTTAGGGAATTTAACGTCACATAGGTTGAGTAGAGCCTTGATGACGGCTTTAGCTGATGGGAAGATGCTTTCGTACTTGTGTCAAGGTGCTATCCCATCATAGTCCGAATGGTATAGGCTTACATCGAAGTATTATTTGTGGGGATGTTACTTTTGAGCTTATGTCGAAGTATTATCCCGTCGTGAGTCCCAGCTTTCTTCGGCGATGGCCTTTGTCCCTAGGATATTTCAAACTTTTTGTTAGGCGAAGGTCCTTGGCTTTAAGGGTATTATTTTGAACTTTCATAGAAATATTAACCCGTCGCTGTTTGATCGAGGTAAAACTCTTCCTTTTGGTGAACGCCCTTGGCCTCGAGGGTGTTATTTTGAACTCTCATTGAAATATTAACCCGTCGTTGTTCGATCGAGGTCGAACTCTTCCTTTTAGCGAAGGCCCTGTCACACCTCCTTTTTCCGCCCCCGCAAGGGGTGAAGGAGTTTTTCCAATTAAAGGACAATCCAAACAGGATTTGTTTATTTATTTCAGAGTCGCCACTTGGGAGATTCAGGGTGTCCCAAGTCACCTATTTAATCCCGAATCGAGGAAAAGAATGACTCTGTATTACAGTCCGCGAACCAGAAATCCGGATAAGAAATTCTGTTAACCCGGGAAAAGGTGTTAGGCATTCCCGAGTTCCGTGGTTCTAGCACGGTCGCTCAACTGTCATATTCGGCTTGTTTATCTGATTTTATACAATTGTGAGCTCATGTGCAAGTTTGTAACTCTTTACCGCTTTTATTATTATATTTTAAAAGAATGTGAACATCGTTTAAAAACATGTCTTTGGATTGCGTCACATGAAATGCACCCGTAATCCGGAACACATTTTTATTCAGTGTTTTGGGATTTGGATTTGGGTTGCATGAAATGCACACCCGAATTTAAGAAGATGGGATTATTAAACACGCGCCTAAAGAGCCTATCACGTCCTTATTTCTGGGGACGGCCATGAAGTTGTCTAAACGGCTCCTCCCGAAGTCTAAGTAATTAAATGTACATTTATTGAGGGCCCCGCAGTTTGTACCTTTTATTTGGCGAGGCTCGTCTCATTTATTTTTAAAAGGATAATCCTAAAGCGACTACGTTTTCTATTTCGTTTGTCTCTAGAATAAAAGAAGAAAAATACCTAATTTATTTACGTGTTTGAGAGTTATTATTAAAAAAAATTCGAACCTAAATAGTTGACATCGAAGATAGACGGGAACATGGGGGCCAGCACAGGTTTGGGCCCAGGCCCAGCATACCGGGCGTGGAACTGGACCTGGGACATTTTGTTTTTACGTCCGGCCTGCTACTTACTTTTACCCTTTTGGTTTTCACAATAAGGTGGAAATGAATCAACAACTACAAAACTCCTTTTATGACTCTAAATAAACATGCTAACTAAAACAGTTCAAACTACTTGACTAATTAGCTAAAAGCCTTTATACGTATTTGAAATATGCTTTGCAAAGAAGTAAAATGAAATAACAGAATGCTATCATTACATTATTGGTTCTTGTAGAATAACATGCAAGGCATTCTATCCCATATTGCTGCTCGATACTCAATTGTACATAGTCGAGCTACTACATGCTTCTAACAAATGAAAATAACTACCCTTTTACACAACTTAAAATTTCAGAATATACAAAGCTAAACGTTAAAATTTCAGTTCTTCATCTCATATTCATGCTTCAAATTTTCAAACTTACAACAACCATGATAAAGTTGTGTACCTGGTAGAAGAACAGAGATACAGTAGAAAAGAAGTCAGCAGCAGTAGCAGTAGCACAACAGCAGATTCAGCAACACAGCAGTAGCCAAAATAGCCCAGCAATAGATTAAGACCCAACAATGGCTTTAGAAAAACACCATACAGCAACACCAAATGCACCAGAAAATCCCAGCATGCAACCCCAGTACCCAAACAGCAATATAAACCACCACAATATGACCCAAACTTGAGTTTGCAACAAGAGATAAACCAGCAGACTCAGAAGACCCAATAAAACAACACCAGCTGCAGTCCTGATGTTCGAAGGTGCAACAGAAGAGACCTCTTTTATCCCTCAAACTAACTCTTTTAACTCTGGAAAATTAGCTCAACTTTCAGCCTATTTCAACTCAATATCTTCTGACTTATGAAGGTTCAAAAAAACAACAGCTAAGAACTTTTTAGAATTATGAAATCTTAGTGTTCACTCCTCTCAAAATCAGTTCTTAACCTCAAAAATCTGTTTTATGTCCTTCCAAATCAGTCCTTCAAAGTCAGTCCTTCAAAGTTAGTCCCCTTTCTCTTCTAAAAGAGCCTATTTTATAGGCAGAAATCAGCAAGCAATAGACTGCCCTTTTTCTATTCTGCCCATACCCCTTAAAACTAATCAGAAATCGCCCATGATATTCCTGACAGCCTCCCCAAACCGCATGCTTTTATCTTTTTTAATCAAAGTTATGGGTGTTTAACTTATTTTAATCAACCTCCCCCATGCCATTAACTCTTGTTCCCCACTATCCTTAAATAATATTAGTTTTGATAGTATTTTAATACCCTACTGTCAGCCCAACATTAACTAACCACTTTCTGATCTTTTCAAACCCCAAACTACCCCTTTAACCCCTGTGTATTACTGTCTTACCCTAAGCTTCAGCAAACTGAAATTTGAACTTATGGAAGTTCAAACTCAACCACTGTCCCAGACTGAGTTCTAGCTATTGAAAGAAAAATATCAGTAAAATCAACAAACTAACTAAACATGTTAACAAACACAAACAACATTCAAACAAAAACAGAAAGGAAAAAGAAAACTCACTTTGGAAGCTCAACAGCGAACGACCCAGGCTTGAACTGGATTTGACCATTTGAGGTCGAACAAACTTTAATCGAAGTTTTCTCAACCGAGAATACCTCGATTAAGTCTATTAGACCCCAACCCTCCATTTAAACTGGCCGGATTCCCAAGTCTTTGTGGTCTAGGGTTTAAACAGTCTGGTTTGGGGCTTGAGGGTTTCTGGTTAGATTCGGACCAAACCAAACTTGGTTTGGTCACGAGTGAGGCCAGGGTAGTTATCGCTATGAATCTGGGGTGGGTTGGTGTAGATCGGGGTTTTGTTCGAACCTTCAAACAAAGATTCGAGACGATGGGGAATGATTCGAGGCAAGATGCTAACAGATTCGTGTTCAGGGTGGTTGGGCACATTAGGGGTGTTATTTTAGTGGTCACCGGTGTCGTGGTTGACGGGTTTACAGTGAGAGTGCAGGGTGGCGGCTAGGGTTTGGGATGGGATGTTAGGTTCGTCTTTGGGACGATGGTGAACAGTAGGTAGGGGGGGTTTGGTTTGGGGGCGTGGGTAAAGGGGTTAGGCTTATATACGTAAGGGGTGGTTTGATCCTGGCCGT